GGTAATTTGATCTGTATGTCAGTAGCACAGGCAAGCGAGAGTACTCCCTACCTCAAGTCGCAAGAGCCCAAGCTAACTAGATGTATCAACTTCTCTGAACCCCCTAGGTAGTCTCCAGACACATGATCGAGTTTCGTAGACCACAGCGAGCAGAACTCCCCTTCTCCCCGTATTCAGACCCCCCCACAATTATACCTTGAAATCATTTTAAGGCACCACAGTTCCAATAACTTACTTTGTGCGTGGTATCACCCCAGTGCTGGGCGACCATGCTGAAAGCTCTATCCATGGACTCACAACTATTTGGTCCGGTAAATTGGGAATAGCCAGCGACCGGAGTAACCTGTAACGACTAGGTCTGTATACGGCATATGCGACACGGTTAGGAATTTCGAAGGAATACGTACACTTCCAAAAAGTAGGTGAGCATCAATGGCCTGGATCCCGTGTGCCCAGCGGTGGCTACACGACGGCCGAGCGAAGGGATCTTTGATTCCAACCGTCATGCGCTTAAAACCAAACGTTTGTTCCAAGGGTGCACCGTTACGGCCGAATATTTACCTTGCACGCATTACATTGGAACTGGGCCACAGACGAGTCTGATGCTCTCGACCGGTTTCCTTAAGCCGATGTAGCTGGTGAGAATTCGCTGGCTAGTACCTGGGTCAGGACGCGTTCTCTCAGGACACGCTATTGCACTCGCAATCTAATTTAAATTCAATGTGAGATACTTCGACTTGAAAAACATACCGTGCGGCTAGTTGAGAAACCCTGGTGATCTAGGAGTTGTAATGGCGTTTCAGCCTCAGGCCGTGTAATTGCTACGTCTCTTGATGTCCACGCCCAGCTGTGGTGGTAGCGATAGGACAGACAGCAGCATGGATGAGGCGTATTGTATCTTCTAACCTTGTAGTCGGGGAAATCCCTAATGGTTACACACGCTGAACTAGGCTTTATTTGTAATGTCCGACATCTGGATCGTGTATTCTTTGTCCAAGGGAGATCTTACGCGTCCATTAGTCGTTGGTTGTGGGCTGAACTCAGGTGTGTGATTGGTTTTGCAGAGCATAGCAGTTGGCAGACGCACCCTGGGCCGGGCGCCTCGTTAAGCCAATGTTACTCAAGCTACAACCTGAATGACCATTAAGAAGTCTGGGGGGGGCTAGTTCGACCTCAATATTTCAGGCTAAAGGCCTACTTTCCTGGATAATACACCAGGCACCCCCGGCGGGTTAATATACTACCATAGTCTGGCGCCGCGGGCTTTGATCGCAATAAGTCACGAATGATGATTAAAGCACTTTTGTAATTGGCTAAGGCGAGTGTCTTCCACTCCCCGTAGAAGTCTCTCCGCCCCAGAGCGCCAGCCCCGGAGGGTGGGATTGCGAAGGCCACGAGATAGATAGCTTCAGTGGAACCACGCATTACGGAAAATAGATAGCCTCATATGTTATCGGTCCTCAAGCGAAACTCGTAGGATGCCTACAGCTGTAAGTGCGAGTACGGTACGACTCTAATATATACCTTTACCTGTAAAAACGCAATTTCCTCCCAGCTCTCCTTGGTGTTAGTGCGGGTCTAAGTTAGTCACGTGCGCGCTGTGAACCACGACGTGCTGAGCTCCGGGTTTCTTCCTAAGTGGGAATCTACGGAACCAGACTCCCAGGCAGGGGTTGGGCAAGAAGAGGCATGCACTATATGAAGTCAAGTCAAGAAGGTAAGTGAGTCTAGCGCTCGTCTTTCATTATAGATGAGTAGCCGGGCGCTTATTTGGGAGTGAATACTTTCGCTCATACCGTACGCTTTTTCAGTGAACGTTCCCGAGATTCTGCGCATGGCAACACTCAAAACGGCCCTCTGGGTTTCGCATGCCGGGCTCAGTTACAGAGAAACAGCGGGGTATAATAACTTAATTCACCTACATATGAGCATGCGATTGGGAAAGCATAGATAGCTTACATCCGTCAGCGGCAGACACCTTTGCGTGTGCCTGACTCTTTTTGCTACACGATTATATTCTACAGAGCGTACCTGTGACTAGAAAAATCTTAAGGAATGGTAGCCGTGTCGGGCAGAAAATAATATGGAATTGGAAAGACCGGGAAGAGGGTGTGTTCTTGCAGAAGGTCTTGGATATACAGCTCCCTAACCCAAGCCTCAACGTCAGTCGAACACCCATTTGCTCCGTTGCGACTCGGCGCGTGAAGTTACCACGAGATAAAAAGGGTCATCGATTAGAGCTGGTACCAGCAATCTGGGAACCTAAAGAAGACACGGATCTGCACGTTTCGCGAGCGAATGTATGCAACTTTGGGTGACAGCATTGCTCAATATATCTCCAAGTCCGGCAAGCCTACAAACCCGCGGCCAGAAGATACGCGGGAGTGAGCAACCAGGACATCTATCCAAGAATATATCGTAGGTCTTATTAAGCGGAACACCTTGAGCTATATCTTTGATAGAGGTTGAGTGTGAGTTGACAAAGCTTCTCCAGCCCTTAAGGCGCTACTCCGAATATCTAAGCCGTTCGGCAAAGGATCATAAAACCCCCGGGTCTTTAACGTCACAGAGCGGGCGATTGAGGATACTAAACCAGGCGGCTGCTAGGGACTCGCAGCTGGCCCTGCTAAAACCAGGTTTTAGAGGGCCGAAATATAAGCTCCAAACGTTTAAATTAAATTGGACCGGAGACCCCTCGGAGACAGACACGGTTCGAGATTCACCCCTATAGTTGATGGGTAAAACCCTACCCCAGGTTAAAGAGCAGAAATAGGTGCTCTTTTAGTCACTTCCAATTAAACACTGGATCCGTTCGTGGGTAGGTAGGGTTGATAACGTCTTATACGATAAATTAGATGTAATCTAAAGTACTGGGTGCTGATCCGATTCGGGCGCAGACGCAGGCGTTGATGTAGCTGCCCGTCGGAGAAGTGCACCGCCTTTTGGATTATGCTAAGCGCTGAGCCAATTCGCTATTAATCCCAAAGACTGTCCAAGGTACTCTTAAATGGATCGCACTAATAGGATGCTTCTCGAGCCTTTGAGTGTTAGGATCAGCAAAACCGATTGTTGGCAAGCAGAAGGAAATTTACAAACTAATAATTGCAGTTCTCAGGAACATGGGCTTGCCTTCATGTAAGCTCCTTTGTCACCGAACCGGACGCAAAGTAAGAGCAGGTAAACCGCCGGAATACGGCTTTTCGCAATATTGGAGAACCCGATCACTAGGATGGGTTTAGCTAGAGGGATAGCACACCAGTGTGAAATACGGCTCGGTGTGCTTCAGGCGTCGGATGCGACTTTGCTAAATTGCTGATCGGGGCTTGGTCACACTAACCCCTTCTAGCACCTCGAGTGATTTGACATGATATCGTGTGCTTGTGTGGTTGAGGCTCCCACACGAGCATTGCTTCTTAGACGGTGGACGCGGGCCCGGCCGTGACCAGAGCAATACCTCCATGGTCTACCAGATCCCAGGGCGTTCATACATGCCGCATTAGAATACAGGCCGCGTATGTGACCGGATACACGTATAAGTTTGCTAAGGCGAACAGTTCTAGCAGCCCTAGCTCGACCGCGAGAGGTTCCAGAGCAAACTTAGAATGAAGGCGAGACCGAGCCTCAACGTTAGTATTGGGCAAGGAGTCCAATATGGCCGGGTAATTACGCCTTAATCGGAGCCCTAACAGGTTATCAAATAAGGAAGAGCTTAATTCAATAAGAAAAGCGATCATTCGTCTATACACATCGGGGCAAACTGAATCTTACACAGCGCTGGCAATGATATCTCTTTATACATCGATCCCTTTGCTTATATAAGTTAACTCTGATAGCGAATAACCTTGTAGTGCTCGGACGATTCCTGTGTGCGCACAACGAATGTGAGGCCAATCCAGCTGTCCAGTCAATAAGCCGACCAGAATGTTGAAACTAAACGCTACTCTGAATGGATAGTATAGGACCTAGCGTTTAGCATCAGTAACGATTAACATTAGATTGGGAAATTTGGTTTTTCAACTATCGTTGTTTAACATATTAGGAGAGCAAATCAGTCGCGGACACTGATAGTAGTCCGGGCCGTGGCACAAGGTTCCGTTTGACAACAGCATGATTTCTTCCCCCGGTGACTATGCACCTTTTGATTTTGCCTCGCCATAGGGCAGGTGCCCTGGACGGGGTTCCTGGATGAGCGATTCGAATCCGTTGTTAACGGCATTGGCGACCCGACGACCAGTATCACTGGCCGGAGTTCGACCAGGCACTTATCGTGTTGCCGGGACCTGAGTAGGAAGACCGAAGCTGGTTGCGGACCTCGAAACTAGTGGTCGACAATGACCCCTAGCAGACCCACCGTTATAGTTTATGATTCTCCCTGTTGAGTTGTCGACGATAGCCGACGAGGATCACAGTACCCGACTGGATCCACGCTTAGGTGTCCTTCATAATACCTGAGACTCTGAGGTTGTAGGGGCAAAGCGGCTAATGACCCTTTCTCGCCTCTGGTTCTCGCAGGCCGCAAAGATCTACGGATATAGCTCTAGGCCTTTAAGTAAAACCCCTCCGTGCGGGTTTACGGTCCCACGCAGAGATTTTAGTCTCATTCCTCGCATGTTGTCGCAACCGAAAGAGCTTAAAAGTCTGTGTCGAATTCAGTGTTCTTTTCAAGACATCGTTATACTACGGTAAGGAGGCGGTGTATTCGCGCATTAGGGTGGCAACTCTGTGGGACTTAGTAAGTAGGTGGTCATGTGCGGATGATGTGTAAAGCAGATTCAAGCCATAGTATTCATCGAGATGTATCCTTGCTTGCGTACCCCTGACCCCGTTCGCGTCCCACCAAATCAACAAGCAACGTGAAGTGCCACCTTCGATTGACTACTCTGGATTAATTCGTGTAAATACTCAAAAGAATGGACATGCCTACGCAGAGTCAGGCCTGACGTAAAGCTCCGGCATTACGGTTGCATCCATTGCACAATGTATGCAGAAGCAAGCATGCATGGTCGGCATGGATGTCTGCTGAGTAGGTCAAACTACATGTGATTTTACTGAAGAACATAGAACGCCCCATGTTTGAATGAGAGCTGTTAGCTATCAGCTCTTTAAACTAGTACCGGACTAGCCACGTTTACTGGGTATAAAGAACCGAGTTATAACCGAAGACAGGACCTAATCGTCGGACAAGCAAACTTACACCAACATTCTTCTCGTGTAGTGTCACGGAGAAGAATAGAGCACAGAGCAAGGAATACACCCTCGTTAGGCGTTTCCCAGAGCTGGGCAGGTGAGTTAATCAAGCAGAAGCGGTTGGTTAGTCGCTTCGACCTGGCTGTACAGACTTTCCTGCGTTAGACTTCGACGCCGGAACCGACCGAGACACACGCGCGGCTCTTCTGCAACGCAATGCAGAACCGGAGACTGTATATTTGCCCAGCTACGCGTAGATGTGTGTGTAAACAGGTGAGGAAACGACTTGCCGCCGTCGAAAAATCATTGTATCATGTGGACAGCTGTTCACCAGGGACGTCCGTATAAACAAGGGAATTTGAAATGGTGGATGGTGTCTTCACCTAGCATAAGACCAACGTGCACCAGATTAGACAGATTAGGGCAGAGAAATACCGTAATCAAGAGTGACGATGTCACTTAGTATACGATGGTAGGGAGGGCCTAACTTACCCCACAATGCCCGCCGATGTCACGTTCTCCCTTAGTTAACAAGATAGGACTACGTGGGATAAGGGGCGTTGACTTGTTTGTGGGGAAGCGTTAGAGAACGCAGGCAACCGTCAAGGAATAAGTAGCGTGAACGGGAGATACCTCGGTGATACCACACTTATAATACCAAGGGTAATAGACTTTGGATCTTTCGAGGCTTCTAACGCTAGCTTGCTGGGACGCCTCATACCCGCATCAAAATGTACTGCGCACTGCGCGAATCAAAGTCATGCAATTATACGGCTGGAAACGACGGTTACATGGGGCTTCAGGTTAGAAACAAACGCTTCAGGCAGCGTAGCACCATAAGAAAGTAACTCTGATTTACCCTCCCCGTGTTTCTCTACTGACCACTCCTGGAATTCGATGTAGTCTACAGCCAGTTCAACATCGACTATCGTGTTATGGGATTAAATTAGGTGAGAGGGATCGCTATCGCCCAATTTAGTCACTATAAGGCAAACAGGCACCCTTGATCGGTTCATCAAAACTAACCCGTACAGATTGCATAAATTTGGCACCGAAAGTTTGCAGACTCCGGATGGTCTACGGAGACTCCGCAGCTTTCGTAATAGTAGGGCAGGCTCGTATGCTAAGGTTTTGATTATATTTCCCAATGTGTCCCTTAATATATCGGGTGCTCCTGCTCCTATATCCCCGGCAACTCGTTTTGCCGCGGCAGAAAGAAGTTCTGTGACCCAGTACATGCTCAGTCCATGTAGACAGCCTTTTTTATATATGCGGTCCAAATTCATCAATAGAGCAAAGCCAAGGTCGACACCCAGGAACTGTTTCGACGTCGAGCCAGCATTTACATTTGGCCCGGGTTCTGGGGGCGACCCGAAAAGAAGAGATTGGTGGGTTAAGACTCCCCGAAGGCCCACTCTCCGCTAGCTTGATGACATAGAGCGCATCAAACATTGCGGAGTATCTGCCTGTCACATACATCTCAGCGCTCGTTTGCCTGACACGGGCGACACAACACAGCACCGTCTTGGCCCTTCACATGTGCGCATCCAGATGTACGTTATAGACATGCTCACAAGACGTCCCACAAGGGAGGGTCGCGATTCCAGGGGCCAATGGGTACGCGAGTTACCAAGTCACGTGATTTGTTCGCATTATTTACCTAGTCAAAAAGCAAGACTCAGGTGACACTCTTAAATTGAAGAGTTACTCCCAGAATAGGTTTGCAGTAGCGGTTTGGTATACTCCGGTAACAACCACGTCAAAAATAGGCGATGATAGTACTGAAGCGTCAGGAAAAGCTGAACACGCGCTAGTGCAGCTATCTTTCCAGAACCGCAGCCACGGACCGGGAGCATGCACCACTGCAGCTATGCTTTCGTGGTCATAGGGCGAGCAGGATTGGCAGATACTACTGAGCGGAAACGACTTCCGGCCCAGCAAGAGGGATGGCTGCCTATTCTAAAGTTAACCATCCGCGCGGCTGAAGTTTGCACGCTATAAAACATTGAGAGCAGACCGGGGGTGGGTGCATTCAGCAGAGGATGGCTCGCACCGAGATGCAAAAACAGTAAAACTTTCTCATAATCTTGAGGATGAAACTATCCCTCAACTTTAGTATGAAAAGAACCAGCTCACTAAAGCTTTTTGGAGCCGTACTTGCTCAACTGCAGAAAACGTGAATATCCCCAATACGTTGACTGGAACTCTCGCGGCAACACTAGCCATAGTTTCCGCCGGATGGGATTTTCTCTACATCCCAGGTATTAGGCCTCCAAATAGTGTTTATATCATCTCCGAGGACGGACGTAAGCATCGTCTGGCCAGCGCCAAGGGAGCGATGACATTTATCCCGTTAGCCCAATTTCAGAGTAGCGAACGACTATAAGCATTAGAGTGAGTTTGGTCTTGCAGAATCAGGAGATGAGGCCGCCGGTGTTTATCTGGCTGGGTTGCCATTCAGAGAGAGAGATTCGGGGAGATCTCTGGCTCCCACTTAGCCACCCACCCATAGATGCATTTGTAACAGGTTCCGCCCTAAGCTTCGAAAGGTGTCTATGCCTTAATTAACGTTCCATAGCATGATCACGTGGTGACTGTTGATTGATACTTTGTGCCGGAAACCAAGAACGCACGGTGAATTTGGTAACGCGAACGAGATTAGTTTGATCTGCTATGTTAGGCAGATCCAATTCGTGCGGTAGAGCGAGGACTACTGGAAGATACGTACACGTGCCGGACAGCCGCTACGAGCGTCGACAGAATTCGCTTATCTACTGCGTCGATACTCTGATCGGAGCGCGGTGTGCTGACGAATGGCGCCGCTATCAACGGATTTCGCGTGGGGATCTATTGTCTAAGACATTGCGGCTTCTTATACATGAGACACATCAAAACTTGGGTAAGGGGTTAGTCAGAGTGCTCTTAATCTTACAGTAAATCCGCGTTTGGCTTTAAAAGCTGGTGACGTTTCCGCGTTCTCGTCCGGACCGAGCCTTATCTCTGTTGATGCAGGCTGTGCACTGTGTGCAAACCGAATACTTACATCGTGCAACAAAGCCCTCCATGAACCAAGTGTGATAGTGCCCACGTGTTTAATACGTGATTCTAAAAGGCATCCTGACAATAATAGCACTGAGTGTCACCGGTGACTCAAAGTCCAAGGGACTTATTACGCTAAATGTATAAAGGCTCGAGATTTCAGGTGGCGGAGTAAAGTGTAGATGATGTAGCTTGCCGGTAATGCTGCAACGCTTATAGGGATAAGTTCTAGAGCTGTACTAGCTGCTACTCCGGGATAAGTCGGTTCGTGATGCGAGGGTGAGGTAAGCTCTAGTACCGATTGGGTCTCTACTAGATTTCGTAAGACCTTTTGGTCTTCACAAAATATCCCCGCAACCCAAGTGCTGTTGTCTTTGTGGTACGTCCAACAGCGTGGAATGACGGCACTACGGCTGGCCAGACCCTCTGATGTAGAATTATCGCGCTAGCGGCACTGTTAATAGGATTGAACAACCAAAAGAGTGTCGGGCATCTCGGCCGTGATAAGATGGAGTGCCCACAAAAGGGGGATTGCTTTCAACATTCCAACATAAGCATGCGATTGAAGGGTAACATAGGGAAGAAGGGTGTCTTGGACCCGCTTCACTCTGTGAATAGAACCCTCTGGGACGATTTAAGATGTGGACGAAACTAACTGTCCTCATGGACGATGGGAGAGTAGGGGCCAACAGTCCCGATTGTGCAAAGGCCCTGCTGTTCCTGAGTTAGACAACTAATGCCTTGTACCTCGTGCCTTTGATTGTTATGGAGTTCTGGTGACTATTGTTGCGCATTACTTCGGAAGATTCTGCACCTGTATTAAACAACACTGTTGGTTAATACGCCGCACTGCTTATATTTTCACTGTAAGGTATCCACATGCTATCGCATTGCCTCAGCCTAATATTCGGGAAAAGGAGACTCTTGGTTGGTCCACTCGCCGTTTGATGAAATCTACGGCATGGGTAGTTAAAGACGATGCACATTTTTGGTTGTTCGAGGTCGCTCGCTGCCTCGTGAATGTCATAAAAATGATTGTCTTCTTGGGAACTCCATGTCTTTGGCAAGTCTGAGGATGAAGTAGTGGCAACGGTCATTGCAACATTTTTCACTGGCAGCAGTATCTCTCACACTGCAGTTGGTCATTCTTCCCCTCAAGCAAATAGTGCGATTCACTCGGGGGGAGGGGGGCCGATAGTTATATTGTCCCACCAACGTAGCACGACCACGGTTAGCAGAAGGTCGCCCTTTTTAGCAACCCAGCTTGTAATTACAGTCACAGGTTGTAAACAGACCCCCCCACGATAGTAAAGAGGACATCTAATCATTAATCAGTAAGTACATGCTTACGTTACGGCTAAGTCCCTCGTCGTCTATCTGCATGATAGGGAGCAACCTTTTCGTTTTAGCTCCAAGTGCTCCCACCTTTCGCAAGCAGCGTCGAGGTAGTGGTGCCTACAATTGGCATGAGGTGGATCACTCATCTTACTCCTTGCCTATTCCTAGCATGAAAATCGTCCATCAGAGCAGGTGAGTAGGCTTTATCGCTCGGGAACACTTCCAATGGTAGCACAGAGCGCCTGATTGCAGGCAGCTCCGGTATTAGGCGTCGTATTACGCAGACGATGCTTATATAATAGGCCCCTTTATTGATTTAGAGAGATCGTTCCCGAGTAACCGCGCAACCTAGGGTCTGCGCCGCAGGTATCGCTCTACACGGCGACCATTGTTCGAATCCCTTTCGACTCGAATCTAAAGACCTGATCGGGTCGCGATAGAACTTGAGCGGACAAGTAGTAAATTGTTGCCCTAGCTGCTAGTCATGGATCGCGGCGGCGCAAATGTAAAATGATAAGACGGGGCGTGACCGACTTGCGATAGAGCGCACGCTCTGTTCACATTGTCAAGTCGGCCGTCTGTGTATCGTAAGACTTAGAGCCTCGCGTGAATGATTGAAATCAATGTTTCTGTCGGTCCCATGGCGTCTGAGGGAAAGCTATTACACAAGGACAGTTATAACACCTAGTCCTTCGTGTTATGAGACCACTCACGGCAAGGCGCTGTTATACTGCATCTTTAAAACGAGAGACCCTGCATAGTTAATCCGGTCTCAGACGTTAGACTGGTATGGTCCAGCAACCCAAGTGTAAACGGTCTGTGACAAAACTCCAGGAGCTATCTGTAGTCTAATCTCCAATGACAGTAGATCGCTTACTCGGCATACACCGACTGCACGCGGCACGTAGAGAGGTACACTCGAGAGAGAAGCCGGGATGCAACATAATCCTTGGACATATCGTCTGCGAATCCGTTCACGTGATGAATGTGAAGACTATTGGCTCCCGTATCGCTTCGGCAAGTAGTAGGGCTGGGTTACGCATTAAAGTTTCCGAACTTTGATCTGTTACCGCTTAGTGTGTTCGGTAATACGTTAGAGAACGCCCACAGAACTGATAGGTGAGACGTATGCCACTTGAGGGTAGCGCGGTGAAGGCTGGAGGTACTGATATCCAGCGTTTGTCAAGGCTGGACCCCCGTAGCGCGAAATAAAGACATTTCCAGGCCCTGTCAGTGGAGTCGATTTGCTCCGGATGTAGCTTGGGGTGTATCATCTGCACATTAATCTGAAATCCAAAGCCCATTTGATAAGACAACATCTTGCGTATACGAACTATTTTCTTATCGAGAAAGTTTAGGGAGCAGCTTTCCTGAATCGACCAGAGCACCGAACAGAATCCGACGACTGACGATCTCACGCTAAATGACTTGTGTTCCATGCCCGGCACAAACACTTGGGAGTCCCTCAGGGGTTTGCATCTTGGACACGCCAGAGCAGACCGTGGGTTATGCTTGAACCGAACAAACTTGGCCTCAAGCAAATCAAATTTGATAGACGGCACCAGCTTACTACGTCGGAGGTTCAGGATAACCGTCCGCAACGTATACGTTACGACTGCAACCGCCCCGGTTACCAAGGTTGGTTGGTACATATCGCGCATCTGAAATAGGTGGTAGCGCAGTAAGCCACCAAATCCGGTTATGACATAAACTTGGAAATGACAAGATTGGGCCCATACAATCCGACTGACACCCTCCCTAACATTTGAAAGAATCTGATGTTATGACGTTTATGTGGGCGAGGAACTGCCCCTTCAGGTTCTTCAGAGGGGCCGAAACCCCGTCACATAAAGTTCTATCAGCGGACTGGACACAGACCGATACTATAGGTTAACTGTGCGCGGCGTCTGACAAAAAGGCAGCGTAAAACTAGATTGGACTCAGTTGCATAGTGATGTATAGTATCTGTAGGAATAACTGCGACGCACGATGCAGCACCGCGATATAATGCTAACTCTGTCGTTGAACGAAATCCGCTGAACACCTACCTCACAGCGATGTCGGCGTTCACCTAACGATTCTACAGGCTACTATTTATGGAGGATCGTAGCATACCGTCCCCTTTCGTTCCAACCGCACCCTTTCGCCGAGTTGATGTGAACGACGCTTACGCGGGAGGTCTAGTACACCAAAGTAGACGTCTGTTTCGATGTTCATTGTCATATCTAAATGTATCATCATAGACCTTACATCCGGTGCCAGCGCGTAATGATTGGCTGTGTAGGTGGTGACGTGCGCTGACGGTGGAGGATCAGGGGTCAGCGCGGGGTCGTGGGTTACGGGGTACTGATTGGCTGTGGACCGGTGACGTGCTGAGAGGGAGTGATCGGGTGGCAGCGCGGTGTGATTGGTGGAGGAGTGTTAACACGCGCTGGGGAAAACGGATCGTAGAGAGAGTGCGTCGTGATTGGTTCATTAAGGAGCGATGCTCACGCTGAAGTACGCATCAGCTCCGCCTCTCGTGAGCAGGGGCTATAAAAGGGGATGCACACAGGCGTGAGGGCAGTGTGTAACCAGCGAAGAATGAAGACGGGGATGAAGACCTAGGGCCCTGCGGTACCTAGTCCCGCTGTCCTAACGGGACCGGGACTCTGTGTAACCCAGAGGCGAGTGTAGTGTGTGTAGCCATAGGCATAAGGTCTACACGAGCCGAATGCAGTGTATTGTGTAGCCAGGGACATAGGGTCTACACGAGTCGAGTGTATTGTGTAGCCAGGGACATAGGGTCTACACGAGTCGAGTGTATTGTGTAGCCAGGGACATAGGGTCTACACGAGTCGAGTGTATTGTGTAGCCAGGGACATAGGGTCTACACGAGTCGAGTGTATTGTGTAGCCAGAGGCGTAGGGTCTACACGAGTGAAGGGTATCGTGTGTAGCCAGAGGCCTAGAGTTTACACGAGAGTAGTGGAGTGTGAAGTCGGAAGAAAGGAGACTACACGTTGTATTTTGACACGTAAAGATTTAATAAAAAGTGTGTTCCCGTCAAGAAGTTCCTGCCGTCAATTCCCATACTTCACAATCATGGATTTTCGACAGGACTTGATGTGCGTAACATGCATACTTACTAATGTAAACAATGCTTCTCTTAGCTGTAAAAGTTACGTGAATTGACACTTCTATGTTGACAAATAACCTAATGTGCCCTTCCCCTCCTCCCGCTGTCCCTTTGCTTCCCCAATATGTTATGTATCTTACTCCCCTTTCCCTCCCCATGTAAGCCTTCAAGGCCCTTGCACGCGGTCCCCCACCTGGGTGGGACAGCGAGCACAATCCCCCCCCTTCGTTGGGCACCTGTCACGCCGAAATCGAGCTGCCGTTCGCGGGGGTTTCTGCCCCCCCCCACCCCATCCGTGCTGCGACTGGCATTTTGTGCCGGGCTCGCGTTGAGCTGTATTTAAAAACATGGAAAAGAACCTAACGTGCACTCCTTGTTCCAGAAAGTGGAAGTGCCAGTGGACTACAGTGTTAACGACCCGGAGCACAGGCACATCTACCGCTTCCTGAGAAACCTTTTCAGCGCAGCCCAACTCACAGCTGAATGTGCCATTATCACTCTGGTAAGAAGGCATGCCTAGACCACCTACCGTTACCATTAGTCAAATTAATCCTATCATTTGTTAATTGTCATCAACTTGTTCCTTTACATCATCGCATTACGCTTTACTCCACTCATGCCGTCTGTCAGACGAGGACTTCTTTACGGAAGTGCCTGTGAACAGGACCGTGCTGTTACCTTCTGTGGATTTCGGTGAAAAGAAACTACTAATACCAAAAAATCTAAATTGAAACTTGTGCTTTCTGTGGACACTGTCCCTGCAGGTGTACGTTGAAAGGCTGATGACTTACGGCGAGATCGACATCTGTCCCAGCAACTGGAAGCGGATACTGTTGGGAGCCATCCTGCTGTCCTCCAAGGTGTGGGATGACCAAGCTGTGTGGAATGTGGACTACTGCCAGATCCTCAAGGACATCGCTGTCGATGACGTGTGCGTGCCTCCACAGCTGTCTCTCTCTGCTGTGCCCTCGTGTATTGTGGGCGCCACGGTGGCTAGATGTTAACGACCTCGCCCTGGTATACAGGAGGTCGTGGGTTCGATCCTGACCCTGACGCCTGTATATTTAGAGTCTGCATGCTCTTCCTGTGGTCGCGTGGATTTTTCTCTCCACATTTAGGAACATGCGTTTAGAGCATTTTGCTGCTATACATTTCCACGTGATAAGCCACTTTGTTGAGCTATCATTTGTGGCCAGGTCGCTTCTAAAAAAGAGCTACTTAGCTCAGTGGGCCTTACCTGGTAAAATAAAAAAAATGTTTCGTTCATCGTACCCTTTGCTTCCTTATAGATCTCTCAGTGGCCAAGTTTTCATGCAAACGTAAAGTACATACACATTGTATTGACACTGAATATTATACAAGTGATCTTTGTTGGAGTAGAGGAAATGGTGCTTTAATCAAAAGGTATATTTACATTTTTGATAACGGATGTGTAAAGTGTTATCTTAAGAATTGTTTTTTTTTTAAATAAACAATTTAAAGCAGGTGAATAACCTGTTGCATTTAAACGTCTCTCTTTTTAAGGGAGACCTGGAACACAAAGCAATACAGGATGCATGTAAACAGTAGAACAACATCACAAAACTCTACTTGAGTTTCATAAGATACAGTTACGCTATGTATGGAATAGTCCAAAAGCACTTTCATATTGACCAGTAACACATCCAGTTGCATATGAAAAATTTACAATTCAGAATTGTTTTCAACATAATAGAGATGCAGTGTTATTCCACCTATGATCTATGTGCTATGAAGTTGGGCCTTTCATGGCGGAGTTACTGACTAATGTGTTAGTTCATGCTTCCTGCTATTAGGAAGCCACCGGAGCTATGCACTTTCAAATCTAGATTGAAAACTCATTTCTTTGGAACTGCTTTTTGTGTTTAGTTTGTTGTCCTTTGCCCGCACTCTGATTCGCGCGGTTGGATATGTATTGTGCAAAAGAAGTTCAACAACTTACATACACGCATGCGCCTCCTGTCCCTTGCCAATCATCCCCTACTTAGAATACTGGACATCTGTGAAAGAGTTTCATAACTCATCGGATTCCTTCAGTCTGAATGAAGATTCTGCTTCTGAGAATAGTCTTTTAATTATCTGAATTGCTACCAAACTTGGTTAATTTACACATAAGTAGATTAATTGCCTGTTATAACCATTCGATTGGATGTATAATACGCTTATTGTATATACACAATAATATGATACTCGAGAGAAAACCATACGTTTGACCATGTCCTTTCGTGTATTGACAACGTAACAGTTGCTAAAGTTTAATCATTTATTTTGTTCCACCTTTCGCAGAGCGAGGGGCGCCTCAACGTAGATGCCTCCATATCTGAGGGCCCTTACCGGGTTGGCGTCGTGCCCGTCAAACACATACTTGAGCTGCTGCGTGATGATTTGTGCTCATTGGGGTAATTTTTTCCTCCCCCCCCCACAGGAATGAACTGGAGAGGCAGTTTCTAGAGCTGCTGCAGTTTAACATCAACGTCCCAGCAAGTGTTTATGCCAAGTATTACTTTGACCTCCGTTCGCTGGCCGACTGCAACAATTTGAGCTTCCCTCTGGAGCCCCTCTGCAAGGAGAGGGCCCATAGACTGGAGGTGAGGATGCGTGCATTCTCTTGCACGCATTACGATACAGCCAAACGTATTAAACACATTTAGTTTCCTGACAGGGTGATAATTACTGTTATTTTGTCTTGGACATGTGTATATATATATTTTTGGTAAATTTACAGCAGAATTATTTAATTGGAAAAATCACGTAGCAATATTGCCCCCCTACTGACACATGAATGCCCAGTTGAAGGCTGATGCTGTGTAAACCTTGTGCTGCACAGGGGCAGCTGCCTAGGCCAGACCTGCCGCAGGCCATTAAAATGGTTAAGATGACGTGATACCAAGCAAGTACTTTGAGTAGCGGAGGCATTTAAACGCCCTGTAAATGCAAATCCTTATATACAAAGTGTGTACCATCATGGACTCTCTGCAACCTTAGGGGCCTTCTGATATAACCTTGGATAATATGAGCACGTGCTTTTTTTGTTAGAACTGCCAAAGTTTAGAATTGATAACGTTTTAAAATCGTAATTTAAAAAAATACGTCCCTGGGCTTTAAAGGAACTGTGTGAAATGAACTCGGGTATGTGCATGCACCTGCTGATCCGTTCTAGGTAAACCCAGGCTGCACACATTCCTGTTTTGTCTTGCACCATTTAAGCTTTGGACTTGGCTCACAAGCTCATTATCATCCCAGATGTTATGGGTATGCAGTTTCCATATGCAGTCTTGATTAACTTAAGATGATGAAGTGCCATTTAGTGGTGTCTGAGGCTTAAGAGATCCAAATAAAGATCGAATTAGCAGGAGAATTGTATAGGTTTATTTGGCTGCCTTGTTCACATTTAAACCTGTGTTATTGTAGTGTCTTGTTTGGTATTGATGCCTGGCATTGTTATCGTAAAGTATGACTTCAGCATTAGTCTATTTTAAACGAGGCGTTTTGATGCAGATATAAACTTGACAAAAAACGGATGGTAGCTCGTTACAAATGTTGGGATCTGTTGACGTTAATTTGAGAAAAAAATTCCCTTTCCAGGCCATCTCCCGTCTCTGTGAAGACAAATACAGAGATTTATCGAAGACTTCTCTGCGAAAGTCCGTCAGCGCTGACAATTTAATCGAAAAACGGACATTCGCAGCCATTCTGCCGTAGTGGCTGTGAACGAGCGCATCCGACAACTTCAATTAATTCAACGTACATTGAGGCTGTCGGAAATATTTTTTGCAAGGTAAAGTATGCGGTGCGATTCTGTGCATTGCCAGCCCTTTTGACATCCTTCCGTTTTACGTGACAAATTTGGAAATATAGAAACGCGCACACGCAAAAAAAGCGATCGCTTAAATGTTATGATTTTGCTAAAGTATATTGCACCATATATTAAGGGCTTAAATGTCTTAAAAACATTTCTTTAACTCGCTTTTTTTCTAAGTGAAAGTAGTTTCATGTGCTCCCAAAGTAGAACCTTAATTCTTGCCAATAGCGTAAACATTTTTGAAAATTACGGTAATGAATGAGTCATCACCAGACATCCCAAGTGACAGAAAATAATGGCTGACGAAAGGCATTTTGCAATGGAAAGTTTGGCAAGCGGCAGTGGAGCTATAACTGCAAAACTGTTATGCGAGCTCAGTTGGGGAAGGAGGCCTGGGGAGAGTTGAGAGCTTAACTGCATTGTGATAATGTTTGCATCTTCAGCACTTGTAGCTGTGCAGTCGATGTTATACTTATGGTACGTGCTGGTTTTTGAATAAGCACAGCCTAGCATGAATGGTGAAGCATTCAGAAGTTTTCTAAATGGTAATGCAAGTACTTCTGTAGACCTCATGTATACATTTTAATTGTCAGTGATTTAAGACGGTCTGTCATATGGAAAAGGAAGCATTGGACCAATCTCTTGAGTCGTTTGTGGATGGGGGTGGTATAGGAAGCGTGGTCGGAGTCTCTTTTCAATAGAACTATCGAAAAGGGTATACTTTTTATAAACAGCTCCTCTGTGTGTATGGTTTTATGGGTGTAGAAAACATTTAATACAATGGATAAACCAGTCACAGTGCTATTTAACACTCCGTATCCAGAGTCTGCAGAAGATCGGACCTGGAGCTAGAATCCAATGAGTCGAATGAAATGCGTTGGGTTTTTTTTCCGTCAAAAAAAATCAGGAGGGGCCTATTGTTTAAATTCTTAATTCTGCAGAATGTGAATTGTGTGAATATCGCGTGCGTGCACTATCCGTGTGCCTTATGTTTACTCCAGTGTGAACCCTAAGATGTGCGTCGTGCACTTGCATGCGCTTGTGCGCACACACACACACACAACGCTAAGCGCAACAACCAATAATGTGAATAATGCAGAGGACCCTTTTAATGAATTGGCTTGGCCAAGCTGTATTTTCTTTTTTAAAGCAGGGCTATCCAGCTTGGATAGAAATGATGGAAAGAGAAAGTGAGCTGCCTGAAGCCCCAAGAGACCGCCTCGCTCCAGGATTCCAGAATCCTTTTAGTGGCATTGTGCGTTGCTGTATCGGGGTCATTGTAACGGGAGCTGTAGGAGTGGCTGGAGTAACTAGCGGGCCTGTGGGGTTTCTGTGTGGGATGACGGCAGGGAACATTCTAGCAAACAAAGAAAATGGAAATCAAGACCGTGTTATTGTAGTTGGAATTTTTTTTTCTCTCCTCACTTTTTTTTGCCTTATTTACTTGTCTTTTACTTTGTACGGTTTGTGACTTTTTTTCGTATATATTTTTTTCATTTGCAGCGGTATTCTTTGTTTACCGCCTCTTTTGTGAGGATATCCGTCTGATTTGTTTATCCCGAGATGTTGTTCATTTTCTTAATGTCTGCGGCTTATATATAAATGTTTCAAAGTAATAATGCATTACTCTTCCCGAACGTACATTTTTATTAACAGAAAATAATTTGGTTTCTTAATACAGCTTATATAATGACGAGTAAGTTTTATTTTACTTTACTAATTTCTTTAATTAGCTCAGAGTTAATTGATGCTCATTATCACATTGTATAGAGGGCACCTGGCTAATGAAATTCATGGTGGGACATTCATGTTACTCGATTTAATTGTACGTCATTTTCAGATTTTAGCTTTGACACCTGCACGTATAATGAGCTGCTTCTGCCAGTGTAAAGCGGTCAACAATGTCCACTTTTGCAGCAGGTGTTTCAATTTGTCGTAATTTCTAGCAGATGATGATTTGGTTGCAGACTTATTTAAATATCAACTTCACGTGAATGAACAAAAGACTGCATTTTCGATCCACTTGAGTTGTTTTCTGTGTGCAGCATCCGTGGCTTATAATACATCGACTTTAAAGTAGCATTTCTGCACATGAATACAAATGACAAGTGAATACGTTTTTTTTTTAAAGCGTATTGTAGATAGTTTTTGAAAATGTACATTTTACGAAAAAAGAAAATACACGTGCTCATTTGGCAGGAATATGATATCATTGTATTATCTTCCGTGCGGAACATGAATGGATACTAGCATGTGATCGATGTGGGATATTTTCTCATTCACCTCGTGTAGAGTGTGGTGCTAAAGATGGATATGATTCCTTATCGTTACTTCAACGCAAAAGTTTGGTAAAATAACAAAATAACATATTGCAGTATTGGGATGCTTGGGATTATACAAAAGCATAGAAAATGTAGCATCCATTGACCATTGTTAAATTATGCGTTCATAGCATGCCATATATACTCCTTTGTGTTTGCTTTGATTGACACATGATAATCTTATATTCAACGATACTTGGTATTGTTGAAATTGTGTACGTAACGATGCACCTTTACGGTGTTGATGATGATGATGAACTGTTATTTCTTGCTGTAGTAACTATCTGTGGGGGCCGCCACGCACGTAACGCGCGTGACCCTGTTCCGGATTGCGCGCCGAAGATGTATTGCCGTATTCGAGTGGGCGTTGTGAAGTGGTGGTCCAACAGGAGGGGGGGGCGGGTGGGGAAAGAAAGCGAAGCTTGTAAGGTTATTTAAACCAGTGTAACATTGGCACTCGCGTTTTTTTTTTATGGAGACGTTAAAAGGTTACACTTAAACCTGGGAATAGTGAAAGGGATATGTAATTAATAATTTGTAGAAGTACAATAAATAGGTAAACATTTTATGTTTGGCATGAACTGTTATGAAACGTAACACCAAAAAATGCCATTATCTATCAAAAATCAAGTATTACCATAATTGTTCTTGCATTCTGTGTATGACACTGGTAATTGCTATGAAGAAACCCGACGGGAAAAAAGGGAAAACCTTTACATACAAGTGTCCCCTGATGAGAGTAATGCTTCACAACTACAAGGGAATCTTTGCCAGGCAGTAGTGGTGTTCCACGCCGGCAAGCCAGCACTGTGGAGGCAGGGAGCATTGGTGGATCGCACAAATGTTTTGCGACTCTCTTCCCTCCCGTAGGGCGCCGGGTTGCTATCACTCTGACTGGCACCACGGTGGCGTAGATGTTTACTACGTCGCCCGGTATACGGGAGATCGTGGGTTCGATCCCAACCCTGACGATGCCTGTATATTTGGAGTTTGCGTGTCTCTCTCTCCCTCTGGTCGCGTGGAGATTTCTCTGGATCCTTCGGTTTTTTTTCCCTCCACATTTAGAAACGTGCGTTGATGGCATTTGACTGCTATACATTTCCACGTGAAAAACCGCTTCATTGAGTTATCATTTTGTGGCCAAGTCGCTTCTTAAAAAAGAGCTCTTGGGCTCACTGGGGCTTAACCTGTAAAAAAATAAATACAGTAAAACTTTGGATTGCGAGTAACTTGGTCTGCGAGTGTTTTGCAAGACGAGCAAAACGTTTAAATATTAATTTGATAAACGAGCGAGGTCTTGCAATACGAGTAGTACGTGTATACGCTTTGTCTGCCGAGCGTCACGTGATCACAACCGATATACGAGTGCTTTGATATACGAGTGCTTTGGATTACAAACACGTTTCCGGAACGAATTATGCTCGCAATCCAAGGTTTTACTGTAGTTTCGTTTAGTTTAAAAGCGGTAGAGCCAGTGTGGACTAATATCGTCTGTCCTGTCCGTATGGCATTGATGCTGCGGTTGCAGCCCACGTGCGTAAAACATTCATTGCACAGCTGAAAATAGCTTATTATAAAGACATACAATGCAGGGACCATCATGAAAAAGAGTCATTGGACTCTTCGTGTGGCTTCCCCTGGGTAAACAGTCCTAGTAACGGTGGCCCGATTTAAGGTTTCTCTTTAACACTAATTTGAGAATAGTCGGTTCCATACTGGCTATTTTCATGTATTGTCTTTGTCATGACAGTCAAACTTATTGAGATGTGCTCTCACGTACTTATATTACATAATGGTTGAGTAAAGTTGTACGTGTGTGTTGATTGGCATTTTTCCTTGTCGGAGTTTTGCTTTGACAAATGTTACTCTGGTTATTTTTTTGACGTTCCTTCGAAATTGTTTTTTTATCTGCACTGGGCACATAGGCCCTAGATAGCAAACATTCCAATTTTTATTATTTATTTAAAGTTTTGCCCAAATTCCACTGGTTATAGTTCCATAGCAAATTATAGGAAAATAGCTTTTAACACTTAGTGTGAAAATTGTATGTGAATCTTGGAATGAGATTACAGAATAGTATTGTGTTATGATTGTAAGGAATTCTGCTACTAAAGTGCATCTAAGTGAGTAAATTACAAATTTATTGTTGAGCCTCCATTGAATTTCTTGGCCCTAAATGATTGGTTCACCTTTGTGCTCACTTTGTACTTTTTACGTAGAAGTCGTTATGTATAACGATGATGGGCCCAATTCTTGTAGTAGAAAACGACATCACGGTTTTCTTTTGTTAAGGTGCAATGCTCCTTGAATGCATTCTACCTTGCATACTACATTCCTCAAGCAGATTGGTGAGAACAGGGCCGGTGTAGTCCTGAGCAGGGTGGCAAGGCTGTTAACCCTCTCCCGTTCCGAGAAGACTGCAAGCTGCAGGGTGAGTGTCCTGTTCAACGCTGAATCTCACAACGTGCAAGCGGTTCAAGCGTACATTTTATTTAGAGGGGCACCGCGCCATGGTTTTTCAAGACATTTTACTCACCACAGAGAACTGTACCGACACGACCGTACTCTGTAATAGCTCC